ATTTTTTATTTCCTTTCATTAATATTACAAACTAGTCTTAATAAAACTATCTTTCAGAAATCATATGGAATGATTTAAAAAAAATCATATTCACGTACAATAATCCATAAAAGGAAATAGAAATAGGATACTATTTGATTTGAATTTGTTTTTTTCTCCGATTATGATTTATCCACGTTAGGCTCTTATGACTATCCCTCGGGGTCTTTATATGTGCTATTCGCTCATTTTCAGATATCTTTATTTATCATCATGTCGAAAGCCTTTTTTGATTTTCATATGAAAGAGTTACACCTAATTTTAACTAAACCCTTTAAATCTATTCCTCTTTCTCTTCTTAGTGATATTACCTGGTTTTTTCTAAAGAAAGCTATTGAAAAATGTTTTATTTTGACAGCTGCAAATATCCATTTGACTTTTTAATTGGCTGCTCTTATTCTTTACGTTTTTTGCATTAGATCGTGATCCCAAGCGACCAACATCTACTTTTTCTGGACGTGATCGAGATCGTGAAAAAGACCGTGATAGGGAGCGCCCTGCATCTCAGCGTTTTAATTTTCCATCGCATTCTCTACATCAGCAATCTCAGCACCATTACTCTCATCAACATCAACCACCGCAGCAACCTCTAATTCAATCTCATCTTCCTCCAAGCGCCCCTATCTCTCCGGCTCCTCATCGCACCATCTATTCTAGCCCTCTTCCTCCGACCACCTCTACTCAATCATTTCCTCTTCATTCTTCCAATCAGCTCCAACAGCATTCTCCCTTTTCTCATTCTCCACATCAACCTCAATCTGCAATTCCATCACTTGGATCTGGTGTTACTCACACTCGTCAAGCTCAATCAACTCCTTCATCTTTGTCTCCTGCCCTTTCTTCGATTTCTCATCTAGCACAATCGATTTCCAAGCATCCGGACTCTATTGTTGGTGACGAAGCCTCTTCGGCTGTCTCAGCAGCAGCCGCCACTGAGGCATTGCTTCTCTCAGCATTGGCCGCTGTTTCTGGCGACCCAAATGGAATGGCTGCAATGCTGTCAGCCACTCTACGACGTCAGAGCTCGCCAGCCAACCAGACATCTAATTCTGGTCCATCTATACCAGCGGTGCAGACACCAGTAGGAAAATCGAAGCATCAGATTATGGCTCCTAGCTTGGCTTCTTCGCAGCACAATCTACAAATTGCAAGAACAAGCTCTCAATTAGTTAGCCAAAGTGGGTAAAAATACGAAGAGAAACTTGGTTTCGATGAATCTCCTGAGATAACATTGTTAGGGGGAACTTCATTTCGAA